AATTTTATCAACTATATAACATGATTGTTAATGATTGAATTATTATTACATTGTTTATGAATGTGCTTATTTTCTATCGGTGACACATCATATGATTTACAAATTTATTCTAACAAATTGGTCTGCCTAGCTATTCTTTCTGTAGTGACGGGCATGGCATGTAGACATGAATTTTTTTTTCAAACATTATTTTTTATTTAATAAAAACAAGATAAGTGATTTTCACGCACCTTTTTTTTTTTAGCTTCTCATACTTTTTTTTTCATTGAATTGAATAAATCAAATGAAATTAACACCCAAAATGAAACATGGGTGTGTAGGAGGCTAAAAAAAATGTTTATCAAATTAACAAATACTTTGAAGAGATGAACACCAAAAACTTTTCAATGAGATTATCATACTGTCACGTTATGTTATAATGTAGGTGGACATAGTTGACTTATAGTGTAATTTTAATAAGTAAATACTTCCAGTCAACAAAATACATATAATTTAAAATATGAGTAAATTATAATAACATGTTTCAATTAACAGACACATCACATATTTTCTAGCTGGGAGCACAAACAAATTTTGAATATTATATGGTGTAAAGATATCTTTGTTAGTGAGGAACCCAAGGATTTACGGATAGGCACAGTTTACTGCAGTTCGATTTTGGGACAAAATTGAAACCGAAATGAAATCGAAATGAAATCGAACCATTCAGGTTTGGTTCATTTTTAAACTGTTTTGGTTTCGATTGCGGCCTAACTTATAGGCCCGTTAAAATATTGAGCTTACTTTAAAGGCCTGTTTGGGTTTGTGGTTCCAAACTTGCTCTTAAATTTTATTTTTATAGTTTTTTTTTCAGTTGGTTTTGGTCCTCAAACAGGAGAAAAGAACAGTTTACTACAATAAGTAAAAGCAAAATTGATAACTACTATACTAAGATTCATGTAAATCTCTTTTCGGTTTGTTTCAAAATCAAAAGGGAAAAACAAATTTCAACAACCGATAACCACTATACTAAACCTCAAGTATCCCAATCCAAATACATGCATGGACTCCACCAAATAACCAATTACACTCCAACACCTACTTGGTAATTAAATTAAATATTTTTTATATTATGCGGTTCGGTTCTAAATATTAAGAGCCGAACTCAAACCGTTATTTTTGGTCTGTGATTCAATTTTTCAATTTTCGGCCATGTGCTCACCCCTACAACAATTAAAGACATTTTTTGTTTTCCTATTTGCTTTTTGGTCAAGATTAAATTTTTTGCTTTGAAGTACATGTTTGATTCTCCTAGGCTTTTTGTTTTCTAAGTTAATGAACATTTATTTGTCGCATATAAATTGCTTTATCCATGGCTTGCAACCTTTTGTCTCGTCGTTCATTTTGCAAATGAAACAATTCACATATAATGTGTAAATAATAAGTGAATAGACCATCTTTTCATTTGGAGTGAGGGAGTTTATGAAAATAAATCGAACTATTATTCTGTCTAAATAATAAGTGTGAAACTAGGGCTGGAAAGTTTTCTCGAAAATCTCAAACCAAACAAAAAAAATTCCGATCCTATACCGAAAAATTCTCAAACCAATAATATCGAAATTTTCGGGATCCATACCAAACCTTTAGGTACAGGAATCCATATTACATAATCAATGAATTTGGGAATCCTAAATCAAATTGAAAAATATATATATTTATTTTGGTTGCATGATGTTGAATTTAAGTAATTTGATAGTAGACTGTATTAGAAATAGAAGTATGAAATTAAGTGGTTTGGAAATTTGTAACGTCAATTTGACTTAGTAAGAGAGAATTGGTATGAATTGAAATTCCTAAATTTCAATTCATATGAAATTGGCTAACAAAATTTCAAACCAAAAGCCTAAATTTTAGCTCACAACCCAAAAATCTCAAATTTCTGCCCAAAAACCCAAAACCCAAAATCCAGTCTCAATCCATTCTAAAATACCGAAATTTTTTTTGAGAATCTCGAAAATTTAGAATACCGAAATTTCTGTTCGGGATTGAGCTTCAATTTTCCATTCTGAGAATTTTCGGTTTGGGATTCGGAATCTCATTTTTAATTAGAGATCCCATACAAACCACCCCTGTATGAAACAATACAATACAAATATAGTCAAGAACACAAATAAAACTAAAATTTAAAAAGTAATTCACTTAATACGAGGTACGTTCACGCTTAACATAGAAGAGAGTAGCGTTTATACGCCCTTCTTAAAAGGCAATTTTCGTTTCTTTTGGTTATTGAAGCCATGAACTGTAAATTTTTTTATTTTATTTATTTTTATTTGCACTTTAGACTTCATCACGAGAGACCGAGACTAGGTTGAAATCATCATTATAATTATTTGTATTTTATTTCCCAACTCAAGCCCATAGAAGACACAAAATAATTTCTACATAAAATTCATAAGGGAATAAAACGGAAGATCTCTTTAAGTGGATTTTTGGTAATACAAGTGTGTAATTTAGAGGGTTTATATGAACTTGTCGATTATTTTTGAACAAACGATATTATCTATACTAAGGAAGAGGGGGTGAGTTTAGCCTCACAATGGGCTGACAATAATCTGGTTCAAACTCGCATTTGGTGAGAATCGAACTACTTACGACCTCTCACTTACAAGTGAAGAAAAATATTATTAGATCGTAATACTAAGTGACAAAGGTACACTTAAATGACAATAAATATTGTAGCATTGATTTATAGTTGAATGACTCCCGGCCCCTCCAAATCATCTACCTTGGAAATTTATCATGGCTGATTCTACGAACACCCAAGAACCCACTCTAGACACCAACAACAGAGACAATTTTTGTGTCCATAATCTCCCTGGGTTAGGCCTGGGTCTATTTGGTTAGCTCGTAACAAAGCCCAAAACTGTACTCCTGGTATATGGTACTGAATACTGTGGACTCCTTTGTACTCGGGATTGGGCCACACATGATACAACGGTTTATTAAAATTTTGGAGAGATTCAAAAGTAATTTACTTATAAATGATCCAACATCGATATTGACTTAAACCATTTACCAAAATAAATGTTCATTTTTATTTTTTTTTGGGTCAAACAAAGATAATTTCATTGATAGAAGAGACTAATACAAGGTTAGGCAAGTTAAAAAACAATCCAAAACCCTTTCCAAAAAAAATATAAGGACGAGCGCAATAAGAGAGCCCATAACAATCATAAAGCAAAAGTACTCTAGATTTGAACAAGGGGATCAACCGCCTCCACCCAAACAGTCATACCACGGCGGCGAAGCCAATGGTGCCGTTGGAAGAAGAACCATAGACCCATATTGACGAGCAGAAATGGGGTGGCAGGCCACCTGTGCTCTAGGTGCTCCCATTGGACTAAGTGGTTTCACATCCATAAATTGCATACAACCACACAACTCCAACACAAGTTAGTAAATTATACCGTAAAGATGAAAATTTTCTTCTGATTTTTAAAACTCCCAACAATAGATGTCCATAGCCAAAAACCGTCTGATTTTTTTAAATGGATTCTTTTTTTATTTGTTCATATAAAATAAGGTCTATACATTCGAGAGTAAGATCTAATTATGTTGAAAGAAATATCTTATAATATTTTTGAGCTAGTCATTACCTTAAATTTTTACTTGAACCTAACAGCTTTTCTAATTAATAATGTGTAAAGTGCAATGATAATGGGCACAGTTAGCTTCCTACTCTGCTAGCATAATATTCCAACACAAGCTATGCATGATTGAAATCCAAATATCTTAGAAAACCTCTAAACATTTCATCTTCTAGGTCTCCTACCCTTTTGTTTAAATTACTAAAAAATTGGATTTGATAAGTGCTTCCTTTATTTTGAATTTCATATTTTTTTTTTCTCTTCTGACATTGACTTTCTGATTCACAGCACCTTACTAGATACCTCATTTATAAAGTTGACATGCGTCTTTTAAGTAAGATGCAAGGTTAATTTCATTATTTAAAAACTATAAAATTCTTTTTAATTGCTAATACAGGTGGTGATTTCAAAACTTCAACAAGGTCAAATTATAGGATTTTCATTGAACTGTGATTTTCACTGACTACTTTTTGTCATAGGGTTGGTTAATCCATCACCTTTGCTGCGGACTAGGATTCTCTTCCTTCTCATTACCATCCGCTTCACTCTCCTCCCCTCACACTCTCCACGTTATCTTTCTCTATCTATTAAAAATACAACACAAGACGTTAATTAACATGGCTTAATCGTAACCATTCAAATAGAAGGGGAGGAAAAAAAAAGAAGGAGAATCCTACTTTCTTTGCTGCTGCATCGATCACTATTTCCCAAGTCACATGACTCATCTAAAATTAATACATTTTAACGAACACAATCATTTAGTTTGTAAATGACACTCGATGATCCACAGAGACAAAATCAAGCAAATTATGCTTAGACTTCAACTTGTAAACCAAAGGGTTCACGGGAATGCTAATGCAATGAATTAAAAAGCTCAACTTTTCCCGCACATATTTTGGAAAAAGAGGCAATTGTAACAATGATCCCTTAATTTTAACTCAATTAGAGTAATGGTGTCTCAACTAAAAATCCTAGGGCTGGTTCGGTATGGGATACCGAACCGAAACCCTTATCCCGATTCCCAAACCGAAGTTTTCGGGAATCCCAATTTCAACATCGATTCCAAACCAAATTTTCGGGAATCCTGAAATAGTTTCGGGATTTCGGGACAAATTGGGAATCCCGAAATAAAATTCACACAAAATTACAGGCAGACTACTACAATTGTGTCTGATATGCATATGCAGAACTTAAGATACCCAAATTCCCAATCCAATTCAATCTGCATAAACTAATTGCATCTGCAAAATTCAATCATCTCAAAATAAACTAAAGCATGAAACTTTCAACAATCACACAACAAATCATCATATAACATTGCAGCCAACCAAGATGCTAACTTCTTTGAGAATAAAAATATAGACCATCCAAACATCCAAGTAAATGAAATTTAGCCATAAACCACGTAATTTCACATCAATTTCTCTGCAAAAACATCCACTAAAATATGTTCATCACAAGAAGAGTAGTAGTTCAATTGGCTTCATCACAACCACCATTTCCTATACAAAATACCCTAAAAACAGAGTACAAAAATAGTAATTCCCTTGAGTAGCAATCTAGACTGAACAAATTGATGCCCCAAGACCATCTTCAAGAATCAGAACTACCAAGCAAGTAATTAACAACTGTTTCTTCATATACCCAATTAAGTAATTATCAAGTAATTGAACCCAAGTCGCAAGCAAACCAGGGACTTCCCAGGAATACGAGCTGGGATTCCCAGAGGTTAACTAAAGAATCAAGCAGGTATATAGAAAATGAAAGCATAATTTGGAAATATGTACTCTAAACTGCTAGTGCAGACCAAGTCACGAACGGGAAGTTATCGCTATAATGTAAAGTGAAGACACAGCTGACGCAAATTACCGAATGGAAACCCTGTCGTTATGGCACCTTATTAGCTCCTCAAACTTTCTTTTGGATGTCCTCAACCTAATATAACCAGTCTTCATTAATTCATAATCACAACAAATTAATCAGAATCACAAAATTAAGTTAACGAAACCCTAGAATCTCATTCCTACTCTTCCCAATAATTTCATCTCAAGAATCTCAATATTCAAACAAAATGTTCTTCACAAACCCTAATCTAAATTTCACAAACCCTAAATTAATTCTAAAATTTACCTAATTTGGGGGGAATCGGTGCACAGTGCACTGGAATCTGGATGAAGAAGTTGAGAGAGAGATCAGAAAGGTGAGTGGCGCCGGTGGCCGTAGCTCGACCTCTGTGCCGTGAAGGAAGGCTCTTCCACAGTGAGGGTTTGAGGGATGAGAAGTTGAGATAGAGATCAGAGGGTTTGAGGGTGTGGCCGGATTCTGAGGTGACTGGTGAGGTTGTCTGAGGTGAGGTCGATGAGGGTGGTGGTGAGGTTGTCTGAGACTCTGAGGCAAGGTTGTGTCAAAGTCGAGAGAAGGAGCGAGAGAGTGAGGTCGAGTCGAAGTCTGAGGGTTTGAACCTTGATTTGTATTCAACGGTTGAGATTAAATCTCAACCGAATCCAATGGCTATTAAAATTCTAAATATATATTTTAAAAATTAAATAATATATATATTTTTTGGTTTGGTTCGGGATTACCGAAATCCTGAAAACTTGAGATTGATTCCCGTACTGAAATTTCGGGATTGGTTCGGTATTGGGCACCAAAAATTTTGGGATTTTTTCGGTTCGGTTTCGGGATTTTTTCGGTTCAGTTTATGATATTTGGTATTTTTTTCCAACCCTAAAAAATTCATGACCATTAGTCCCTTAACTTATCTAAATGCGAAGCTATGGTCCTTTTCGTCAACTCGGTTAGAACTTTTGTCAAAATGAGTCAAATGTCACGCATGTGAGGCTGAATCAAGGGGCAAATATGGAAAGCCAAATGAGAAAAGTTGTAGCAATAGTCCCCTCAACTTTAACGCAATCAGAGAAATGGTCCCTCCACTTTACCCAATTGGAGCAATGGTCCCTCAACTTTAACCCAATTGTAGCAATAGTCCTTCTAATATGACTCATTCTGACGGAGTTGACGAAAGAGACCATAGTTACACATTTTGATGAATTAAGGGACCAATGATCATGAATTTTTAGTTGAAGGACCATTGCTACAATTTTCTCTGGGAAAAACGGTCTTGCAGCTTCATTAATGCCTACGTGAGGCTATATATATTAAACACACAAAATCAACATACTAATTTATACCGTCTTTAATGTACGTGAGTCTAACATGTAATCCTAAGGTTTTTCTTTTCATTAGGCTAAAAGTTCATTTTCTGTTTGGCCTCATTAGGGTTAAAACCTTTCATGAAATGTTGTCACATTGAACTCTACATTCCTTTCATCTTTCCATAACTAATGAAATTCTATTAGAAACTAATTAATTGCTATTTTCCAATTAAGCTAAGCTGTAAAAAAGGCACCACATCATGGATGGAGGACCGCTTTCCTGTCACGGAGATACATCTTGACTCTCTTTATCTGACACATTATAGATTCACATAATGAGTAATGTGATAATAGGTGAAGGAATATGTCTATCCTGATATAAGTAAATTATTCTCTAGACTTGTACATTACGAACTTTAATATATAGTGTAGTAGATGAAAATTGTGACTCTACACAGGCTTAATTTTAGAAATGTGGAAATGAATTCTCCAAAATGTAGAAGATCCAGCATGCCATGAAATGCAAAGCTATTAGTACACAACAGAAAATCAGATGCAAATCAAAGGGATCATATAGATGAATCTCAACAAATATGTCAGCTATATTGTCATTGGCCCACAGACACTGTATGCATTTTTATTTTTCTTTCACCTAATCCTTAAATTAAGAATTACTTGAAACCTAACTTCTATTTTGTTAACATATCTTGTCTAATTGATTGATCCGGAACACATGCTTATTGAGCAATAAAAAACCATTATATACATAATACGATTAGGTAATAACCAAATAGAGAGGGCTTTCTACACACCTAAAAGCAAGTTCAACCAATCTAGACATTTTTTTCTAATTAAGGACCCCTTTTATGTTTCGACCAAAAAAGGGCCCCTTTTATGCAAAAAAATAAAATAAAATAAAATAAATAAAACCAACATTTAGGCAATTGGTCAATATTGAAAATCAGAATTCTTGTAGCCAAAGCAGATGTTCAATTTACAATATTGGATGCAAATTGTAATAGAAAGGTAATTAACTAGTAATTAAGCATACTAAATTAGTATTGTTTACGTGAGGGTCATGTGCAATCTGGTCTACTACAAACCCTAGAAAACAAGACCAGTACTCGAGGCCTTCAGTCTGAGAAATAAGTACTCCATCGAAGAATATTCTTTCAAAGAAAAAACTGCTACTTATAAACCCTAATTATTGTATTGATCTCCCTTGCCCACCTATCCCTACTATTCCCTCTTGTCACGTAATAGTAAACCTTTTACTAAAAGACTGCATGCTCTTTATATTTTCTTTTTCCTTTTAATTTTATTTACTACAACTTGCACATGCAAAAAGAAATTGTGCAGCATGCCAAATAATCACGTATATCCACAACAAGACAATCTCTCCCAACATGGGATCTGATTAACTTTCCCCACAGCCATCTGATGTGATCTATTTGTATCATTACTCTTTTCACCTCAATTCTTCTTTTTGCCACCTTTGTGCGCACTAAGTAAATTAATTATATTATATTTTATATAGTATCAAATACTTTTTTCTTTGGCAACCTTTGTAGTAGGAGTGGCATGTGTAATGTAGCATCAACCTTTGTAGCTCTCTTGTTGCTCAATCATCAATACCATGATCAAAATTTTAAGTCTTCTTTATTGAAACCGTGCCACAGAGAGAGAGAGAGAGAGAGAGAGAGAGAGAGAGAGAGAGAGAGAGAGAGAGCACCATTATATATACTTATAAGTGGTAGTTGGGTTTTTATCAGGAAGGTTGACAGAAACCCAGAATAGCATCCTCTCTGCATAACATAGTTCCCCAAAGTCTCTCTCTCTCTCTGTCTCTCCCTCTCTCTCTCAGTGGCTCAATGGCTCCTGTGACAAAAGAGTCCGTCAATAGAAGAAAAATGAAGGGAGGGGAAGCCATGAAAAACACAAAAAGGAAAGTCAACAAGGGAGCATGGACAACCGAAGAAGATCAGAAACTGGCTGAAGCTATTGAAACACATGGTGCAAAAAGGTGGAAGACAATTGCATCTAAAGCAGGTATATACACTTGTCATAATTAAGCTGAAATTGATTAACTAACTTCTTGATCATATTACACTTTTTAATGAATAATGATCAAGAGCTTAAAAGGGTCTTAATTTTGATTGGTGCAGGCCTCAATAGGTGTGGCAAGAGTTGCAGGCTAAGATGGTTGAACTATCTCAGACCAAACATCAAGAGAGGCAACATATCTGACCAAGAAGAGGACTTGATCGTTAGACTTCACAAACTTCTTGGAAATAGGTACCATTGATTTCATATGATAATTAGCATCAAAAGTTTGAAGTATATAAATTCTGTCTGAGTGAAACGGGGTGTTCATTGGGGTCTAGGTTCCCTCCAATTGCTCACAGCATTCAGGAACTAGACTGTTGTAGCAGTCCGATGACTTCGCCCTGACATATAATTTTACCCGCCTAATCCTCTGCCCTTGCCAATGTCAGACTGAAATAATAATAATAATAATAATAATAACGTTAATCTACATGGATTATGATTTATGATAGTTTGTTTTGCATGATTATTAATTACTTACAAAATTTATCTTTCTCTTATGGGTTTTTAATTTGTATCAGGTGGTCTTTAATTGCCGGACGATTGCCTGGTCGAACAGATAATGAAATAAAAAACTACTGGAATTCTCATTTGAGCAAAAGAATGAGCCAAAAGGAAAAGGAAAATGGAGCCAATTTAACAAGAAAAATGATCTCCACAGATCATCAGAAGGATCATGTACAGATGAAAGAAGATGCGTCATTGCAAGAGGCTGCTACTAGTACTAGTACTACTAGTGCTGCATCTAGTGCTGCATCTAAAGGAGGTGATCAAAACTCCAACATTAATATTGATGTAGATGATTTCTTTGATTTCTCCAATGAGGGTTCTTTGAATTTGGAATGGGTGAGCAAGTTTCTTGAACAAGATTATGGCAGATGGCTTAACTGATCAAGTTGGTGCAGTTCATGCTAATTAATCAGGGTTGTATGTGATAATATATTTCACCATCTGTCAAATATTTTTCCCTTTTCTTTTCTTATTAGGTTATATATATATATATATATATATATATATATATATATATATATATATATATATATATGATGACTCTAGCTCTGATGGAGTTCATGACCGTGCGCTGAAAGTATTGTACATCAATAAACTTAGATGAGTTGAGTTCTGCCTTCTCTTCTACACATACTACTTGGATGAATATGTACAATATTTTCGGTAAATAAAGTCGTTGATGATAGGTAATAGCTAAACGATTCTTTTATTTGTATAAATATGATAACAGAATGAGCTGGAAAATTGTATCATAAAACGATGAAACCTAAAAAAATGGATGGTTCACATTGTGTAGTGGTGGGAGCACTCCCTCAAATGTATGATTACTCTCTTGTTACGTGGACTTAAATCTCCAAATTTCATCTGGATGCCAACGTGGGTTGATCATCTTATTATATTTTAGGCTGCGATTTGGGAGACTTAAGCAAAATAAACATGTCAATCCATCCGGTAGACAAGGTTGGTTTTTAGATTTTTGAAGCCCAGGGCAACATAGAGAAATATGCCCTAAATTCATACAAGAAAAAATATTTGTTTTCACACGCAATACTTTGAAAAAATTATATTTAAAAACACTTCAAACTCAATAATTTATAAACATGAAAAAAAACAATTTATTTTGTATTGAGAGAAGGGAATCAAAAAACCCCACAAGTACAAGTAGGTAGATGATGAGTTTTGTTCCCCCTTTATTTGAACTTTCAAATTATTTTTATAAAATCGTGAGGTATTTTATCTTATTTGCCAACATTGTCAATATGGGACTAAAAAATTCATATTTTTGAGTCATTAATTGATATGTAGAAGCAATAAATGAGACCAAATTAAACCTAGTAGGCTAGTATTGGTAAAGACATACATACATTAATTTATTGAAAGCTTTTGACTCATTTTTTTATCGAAAGCTAATGTTAGGGAGACCAAATTATTAAATAAAATTTTGTAAACCATATGACTAGTTGTTAATGATTAGATTATTATATAAGTATTAATTAACGTGCTTATTTTCTTGGTGACACGTCATATGGTTTACAAATTTGGTCTAACAATTTGGTCTAACAATTTGGTCTACCTAACATTACTCTTTGTTGAAGGTTAGACTTGAATTGGAATGCATGTCTAAAAATTGCAACCCACATAGTAGTCATAAATCGAATAAGAGGTTAAAAAAAAAAAAAAACAGAAATTTGTAAAAATTGCAAAGAGCAAAAGCACACAACATTTCAATCCCACGACCAAACCACCCCCCCTCCACACTCATTTTCTCTTTCTCTTTCTAAACACTCGTTTATGTCCATTAATTCTTGCTCGATTAATTAAATCCAAATGATAGAAATAAACAAATTGTACAAGAGAGAAAAAAAACAGTACTTCCGAATAAAAGAGTTGAACCAATTAGGAAGAGGATCTGATCCGGATCTTTCCCATCAAAGGCTCATGATCAAGTGATCTGGGCCGTTGAAATTTGATCTAACACCAACAAACAGAGGGCATCTCTAAAAATTATTATAATTGTAGCCGTTGGATCAAATTTCAACGGCCTGGATCACTTGATCCTGGGCCTTTGATGGGAGAGATCCGGACCAGATCCTCTTCCAACCAATTATACTCCCCCGACAAGGACGGAGGATAAACATACAAGACACTCTCATGTCCTTTTATATATACAGACAGACATGTACAGTACAATATCTGCAAACTGCAAAACGATGAAGCTGCAGGCTGAAGCACAAGGCATTTGAAAGATGATGAAGAGAAGCATTATCCCCTGAAGGGCTTGTCATGTAGTTCCCAGTTGGTTATAGAGATTCTTTTTTTTAGTGGAGGATTTGAAGCAATGATAGCAAAAGAGTAATAATAAAAGAGAAATTGACTTTGTCCATATTATTGTACGGACAATTGCTGGGGCATAATCATAAATGTGTATCATAAGAGAAAAGTTAAACGCTTTTTAAAGTTTACCATTTGCTTGCCAGATTTTCCCGGGACAAATCTTTAACTTGTTCCAAGATTAACTGTGCTTTTTTTTCTTTTCGAACAAACGATATTATCTAAGTTCGCATTTGGCCAATCGAACTTAAAATTTATCACTTATAAATTAAGAAAAATATTGTAAGATCCCACATCGCCCAGGGGTGAGGATCATGTAAGCCTTATATGTATATTTTCATCTCTATCTAGCACGAGGCCTTTTGGGAGCTCACTGGCTTCGAATTCCGTAGGAACTCTGAAGTTCAGCAAGAATGGGCCAGAACATTCCCAGGATGGGTGACCCACTAGGAAGTTCTGCTTGCATGAGTTCCCAAAAACAAAACTGTGAGGGTGTGGTCGGGGCCTAAAGAGGACAATATCGTGCTACGGTGGAGTCAAGACCAAGATGTGGTGGGGCCCCGAGCCGGGATGTGACAATTTGGTATCAGAGTCAATCCCTGACTAGAAGTGTGCCGACAAGGACGTCGAGCCTTTAAGGGGGGTGGATTGTAAGATCCCACATCGCCCAGGGGTGAGAATCATGTAAGCCTTATATGTATATTCTCATCTCTACCTAGCATGAGGCCCTTTGGGAGCTCACTGGCTTTGGATTCCGTAGGAACTCCGAAGTTAAGCGAAAATGGGCCAGAGCATTCCCAGGTTTGGTGACCCACTGGAAAGTTCTGCTCGTGTGAGCTCCTAGAAACAAAACCGTGAGAGTGTGGTAGGGGCCCAAAGCAGACAATATCGTGCTACGGTGGAGTCGAGCCCGGAATATAATGGGGCCCGGGCCAAGATGTGACAAATACCACTAAGTCGTATTTACTAAATAATAACTGTAACTTTTTATTCATCAGAAAATTGCAACCAGATGTTAATTAACCTGAATAAACTGTGTGTTTTACTATTTCGGTTTTTTTAATTCGATCTAAATCTAGGTGGACACAAGTCGCCGACAAAAACTAGTCGTGAAATCGTGATTCATGCTTAATAGTAGTGTCAAAGACACCAAGACAAATTTCAACATCCAATAACAGTATCTCATTTTTTTGTGGACAAGTGTTAGCCACAGTTGAGCTTCATTTGTGAGTGTCGACCCACTCATAAATAGTCGAAACAATGAAACATCACCATCTCATAGTTTCAACTTTTCGAGGAAAATGATTTACATGACACAAAAATAATATAAATGATTACCAATTAAGGAGATGTGGCCCTTTTAGCCTGAATAATTGTTCATATTGCATCAATAAAGGTACACAAATTGAGTTGGGTAGAGATAGTAGGACCCAAACATTTGTTTATTATACCTTTCACATTTTTAACTTCAGTTCCTATAAATTCGATTTGTCTATTCTGTCACTCCATTAATTCATATTAGGGTTTTTATCATAAATAGTCCTTGAAATTGATTCTCACCATCAAGAAGGTTTCTGAAATTGAAAATCAATCAATATAGTCTCTGAAATAGGTGTCTCAATGTGGTCATTTTGTCACAATTCTATTAAAAAACCTGTTAAGTGCTGATGTGGCACATAAATGGCCTCATAAGTCATTTTTCTCACAAATAGTCCTTGAAATTAAACCATGACACCAAAATGGTCCCTATAATTAACCAGCGACATCAAAATAGTCTTTGAAATTGAAAATTGATCAATGTAGTCCCTTAAGTAAGTGTCTCAAATCAATATAGTCATTCTGTCACAATTCTGTCAAAATTTCCGTTATGTGCTGATGTGACATATAAATGGGTCACACAAGTCTAATTAAATTAAAAAAAATTTACATATAGACTTAATAATTTAATAGTTAATAAAAAATTGTCAACCAAAAATCCAATCCTGCAATCACCTCTGATCCCAATCCACATTTCTATATCTCATTCGCTCTCTATTCTCTAAAAAAAAAAAAAAAATCTCAATACACTCATCTTTACACACTTCGACACTTTTCACCAAATTGAACCTGAATCAAGATCACCTTTGATGACGGCTTGGCCCATATGACTTCTGGGATATCACCATTAACATTTAGGCGATCAACATCTTCACAACCTTAATCTTGAAGAGCTTGTTTTGCGCGTCCCTGGTGGTCTGGTGATGAGGTTATAATCGAGGTGTGTCCATTGTTAGTTGAAAACTATTTCCACACCCCCTCTTAGGCCTTGGTTAAGCCTTTTGCCTTTGAGAATTTATGGAAGGGAGCTCTCTTTGGAGTAGGCTCTACTATAAGAAAAAAATTCCATTGTGCAAAATGGTATTTAGACAAATTTCTTAATTAATTATTAAACCCACATCAGCACATAACAATTTTTTTTTTACAGAATTGTGGCAAAATGATCATATTGATTTGAACACCTATTTTCAAGGACTACCTTCATTGATTTTCAATTTCAGGTACCATATTGATGTTGCATGTCAATTTCATGGACCATCTTCATGGTGTGGGTCAATTTCATGGACCATTTGTGATAAAACCCGTAAATCTTGTGGGACCCATTTATGTGCCATATCAACACTTAACGAAATTTTTAGCAGAATTGTGATGGAAGGACCACATTGATTTGTGACACCTATTTTTAGGGACTATTTTGATTGTTTTTTAATTTCAGGGACCATCTTGATGGTGAAGGTTAATTTCAAGGACCATTTGTGATAAAAACCTTTCATATCAATATTATTTCTAAGAATGAATATACATAGTCATAACTTCTCTACAAGTACATTAAAAATTTCAAACTATCTATCTAAACACTTGGAAAATTATCATACAATCTAATGTATGATATGCACCGAATAAATAAATGAGTAAATACGCAGCCTGTGATGCAATAAGTAAAGATCCAACGGTCATGGATCCTAATATGTAGTATACGCCCGTGTATACAATAATAAAAAACCGTAGCTCTCCTTCATTTTTCCTAAGTTCTTCATGGAGAATCTCTTGGAATTTAATACATGCAATCTGACAAATGGGAGTTTAGACTTTAA